ATGGTGTTCCTAATAATCCTTTAGGTGAGTGTATGTAGGCCTATGTAGTATACTTTGATGCTACATGAAGTAAAAGGGGGGCCTTTTACACACATGCTAACACAGCTCAATACTACCACCCTCTGGCCATGTTCGGTACTTCCGAGCGCGGATCTACAACAACTGAACAAAGACCCGACCGGACTTGTCACCGTCAGAGTTTTCATGATATTCGGGTAATTAGTAACCAGACCACTTCTGACAGACCTGACTTTTCCACACATCCGTCAGTGGAGAACATTATAAAAACCAAAACACAAAAGAACAAACAAAGAAGTAGAAGTTTAAAGAAAAATGAATATGTGAATAGACAAAAACACTGATCGAGGTTTAACACGTTTATTTTCAGAATTACTTTACAATTGTGAGAAAAACACAATTGATTGATTTTCCTCCAGCCATGTACACCATACACAAAGAGTCAGGTTGCCGACGCTACACACACACGAAGCACATCTTAATTTAACCCCTTCGTGAAAAGCCATCTGTTCTCAGTCTGAAGCGACGCAGCTTCGTCACGTTTTAATGTTCGCTTTCCATCAGCCGGCCAGACTTCTGTCCAAGCCTCAGCTCGGCTCTTGCAGTCTGCTTGTTCTCTGCCGTCATCTGTCGCCAAGGCGACTTGTGGTCCATTGCCAGATTCATCTGTCCGGTGTGCTCTGAGAGGACATTGAAGAGGTTGACATCATATCCTGCATGAACCGCATTGACAAAATGATATGGGGCACGTTACGTAGAGACTCACAATGTGCCATCCCTCACTCCTTTGCCCTCCTCTTGGAGTTCTGCAGTTTCTCCGCTATCTTGCGCTCGTGACCCGCCGGGGAGGGTCTGTTGGTGTTACAGTCCGCTTCGCGCTTCGTGCGGCCCTTGCGGCTGGCACCACCTGGGAGGGGAGAGTGACACACCTACTGTACATAAATACATGCGTAGCCTAAGTAATATACGTGTACATAAACGCACAAAACGCATTGTCTTACCGCAGTAGCGATCGGTCAGATTGTAATAGTCATATTCATCATAGTAGTTCGCCTCAAATGTGGTGGGCTCCAGATTCTTAACTTCCACAAAACTCATCTTTCGATGAAATGAAAAAGAGCAGTGGCTTTTTGAAGTGTATTACTCTGCAGAGCTGCTGTGGAGTGATTGTCTCCCGGGTCCCTTGTTTTTGTTTTTCTCTGCATGGCTCTGGGCTCTTTTATAACCGTGTCTCCGCCCTCCGTCCTTCGCCTTGGCCCGATTTCCCTTCCGTGACTCAACGGTAAACATTTGACTCAAAGTTGCATCAGCTTTAGTTAATGTTTGCTCAACACTCGGCGCCCGTACAAACTGAAGTACTGAAGTAATTCATATGCCATTGTTTGAGAATTTGTCTTTCTTTCTTTTTCTTTCTTTCTTTGTAACTGTTTCGTGTTTACATCGAAGTCAATGTTTATTAATCTTATCATCAATTGACTTTCTCTTTCCATTTCTCTGATCCACTCAACCTTCTTTTTTGTTCCTATATGTCCTCAATTCTTTATCTGCACTTGATCATGATTATGTGCCATATTTTATTTTATTTCGTACGGTCCGTTTCATGTTGTACTAGATAACAACGAATGCGTTGCTGTTATTTACTCAACGCAAAGTAGGACAACACTAGACGGCTTGCCGTTCTGCCTGTGTCATCTTCCTTGTATGACCCGCTCCCTGCCATCTAGTTGCCTGGCGATTCACCGGCTTGCCATCTTCCCCCTGCTCCCCGTTTGTGTCTCAAAATTTACTGTATTTGACTCTCCCTGCC